TTTTGACCATGTGAAAGGCAATATATTGGAACAATTTATAAACATAATGGTATTTCAAATGAGTGTTGTACAAAAATAAATGAGAGATCAAAACTATAAACTTTTGGCTGGAAAAAAAGGTCAAATAACCTTTATTTGAAGTGCATTTTGCAAATTAAGGATGCCAAAGAAGGAGAAAAAGAAGGAAAAGAAGAAGCAGTTGTAGAAGACAATGAAGAAGAAAAAGAAGGAAAAAAAAAAAGAAAAAAAAAAAAAGGAGTAGTATATAATGATGAAGAAAAGAGGTAGTAAAAGATGACGAATAAGAAGACAATGAAGAAGAAGAAGAAGAAGAAGAGAAAAAAGAAATGACAAAGTGAGATAAGATAGAAAGGAATGTATATGTGCAGGGCTCTGATCAAGGGCATAAAAGTGTTACATATGAGGTGAATTTTAAAAGTCAATTATAGACTGTGGCAACATTAATTTTGTAATCTGCAAACATTATGCAACACATAGCTAAAAAATCAGACCTTAACAAATTGCCGTTAAGCGGCAATCAGTAGCCAAATATCACATCATCAAAAATGTTACGTACATAACTCGGTGTCCACTTCATGCTGATATTTCTCTTATAATTTAAATTTTTCTCAACAAAGTACATGAGATGTTAAAACATACCCTAAACAAAACTTAAAACCATTGCCATATTAACTTTTTTCAATTTAGTTATTAGAATTTGGCCAAAACAAATATGGACACCGAGTTATGTACAGTACATCTTATTCTCTAGATGCTTTCTCTTTGCCTTATTGTCAGATATGGTTTTGCATTAGTCTAATATCGACTTCAATTGAAGGAATGATGTGTTTCCTGAATGAAACATAATTTGCAATGTGTAAATAGTTTGTAAACTACTATTTCAGGACTGAAATGTTAGATTTCTGTACTTAATCGTACATAACTGTGGACACCAAAAGTAAGTAGTTTTACATTCAAATTATAACTTCTTGTTCCTTAAATTCAATAAATGTTTGTTTAAATGAAAATGCAGAAGGGTGCAATTCATGCTGACAGAAATAAATTGATTCATTTATGATAATTTATTTCAAATTGTGATTGGTAGTAACGTACATAACTCGGTGTCTTTTTATAACGGTGTCTTAGTTATGTACATGACATGAAAAAGCTCAAACTGCAATATTTTGTAATATTCTTCTCACCAAATCAGACGTGTGTATGTCTTATACATTGTTTACTACCTTACCATGACAAATAACTAAATATAGGTGGTCTTATTGAAGAAAAAAAAACATGGTGTACGTACATAACTCGTCACGTACATAACTCGGTGTCCATTCATTGTTGATTAAATCACACATACAAGTTAAAATGGGGAATCCAATGTTATCAGTGCTCTTCATTCACCTATATACACCATTGCATTATCATTTTGAAAGAATACAATAAGTTTTTGTATAGATTCTGTTGCATGGTTTGTTCATAACTACAGGACACCAAACATTTTCCATTTTCAGAAATCTGAATATTTTAAAAACCATGACCCAGAATGAAATGATCTGATTAGAAATCAAAGATAAAGTGAAACTAAACATTATAACATTGCAAGCTTGTAAATAAATCAATTATTTATACACCATTCTTCAGTTAGTAAGATTTGAAATTTGCAGGACACCAAAGTTATGTACATATCACAAAAATTGTATCACGTGTAAATGGAATAAGAAAGTAAAATAATAGGAATTAACTCAACAGAAATGTTAATTATTACATAGATTCTACATCAAGATTTAAAAAAATCACAAGTTTTGCATCCCATTAGTAAAAATATGGTATCCAATTAGTGCATGTTTTGAATGTAACGTTAAAAGTGCTTAAAATAGGCCTTTTTTCATCATAAAATTGCTCTAAAATCTTTAATTTTAACTCAATGAAGCTGAAAACTTGTTTGGAGCTTCCCCCAATGGTACTTTTTAATATAAAAATGCTAATTTGTGTCTGGGTCTCATGGTTTTGGATAATTGAACAATTTCCCAGTGTTCAATCTACATTTTTGTAAGTGTACCCTTGATCTGAGCCATGCACATATTATACATATTTTAATAAGAACACTCAAAAGGAGCATTTTCAGAAAAGATGGAAAAAATGTACTATATTATGTTTTCAACAAAGAGAAACAATTACAATGTGCAATAAAAAGGTACAGAAAGCACATTCTACAAAAAAACAAAAGCAAAACAACAGAAATTTGAACGGAATCTGAAAATAATTGCAAGTTATAAATAGCACACTCACAATGTGTTCTTTTGTTGCTACAGGAAATTAAGATATACTATGCTATTGTCCTTGATTGTGAATTGCTAATAACTTTCAGGGGCAAGTAATGGACTATTGATTTGAAGGGCATCTACAAACTCACACATAATACTCATTTAAATGTTATTATATGCCTTTAGGGATTAACAAGTCCAAATTGGCTTCACGAAACACAAAGAAGGAATTTGAAAAGCAATTATTTTTGTTTTCCATAAAGTGGGAATATCTACAGTGTGTTCACAAAACCATTAAAAAGGGAAAAGAGTAATCATCAATTTGCCCTTAAGACATGTAAATACACCAAAGAAAAACCTATTTTTACCAAGCAATCCCCTTACAAAAAATAAACACCTTTGAGTTTACAAGTACAATTGCATAGAATACATAAGGAATGTATAAAAGTAATAGAATATAAAATGTTTTTTTCTCAGGCCATCAACACCAACGTTCTTCACACAATGCTCAGAGGTCTCCATCTCCAAGTTGTCCGGTATGTCACTGGACTGTCTATCACAAGGTCCACGGTTCGAGTCCCGCCGAAGCGCTAATGTCCTTTGGCAAGAAATTGATCTATATTTGCCACAGTCAACCCAGGGGATGTACATGGGTACCTGGCAGGAATTAATTCCTTGAAATGCTAGAGCGCCGTAATGGCAGCCGTGCTAAAGCCAGTGTAATAATCAGGAGCGCCGGGAGTGTCCAGTCTGACAGACATGAGCGCTATACAAGAACCCACTATTATTATTATTATTATTAATGCATAACTTGTAAAGAGTAACCTATATTTTTGCTCACGTCAAACAACTTCAGTATTTGCAGACAATAGGCTACATTTTCTGTAATTGTAAGGTGTATTTTTAAAGCTACTAGTCACTAACCATTTCTTGTCTGAACAAGATAAACATTATTCAATCTGAAGTATGTAGTAGAAAAAAACTTATTGTGCGGTACATGAAATGATTTAATGGATATAAACATCCTTTAAAAGAAATGATTCAGGGTTTCATTCCAATATTACCCTTTTGCAGAAGTATGTAGGAGTAAACATTTTGCAGAAAAAGGATATAAAAATAGGATACAAGTAGTGCACCTCTTTTTCAAAAAGAAAACCAAACTTTTATTTTCAGAACTATTCCTAAATAATTTAAGTTCATTTAACTACTTGAATGCCAGTCCTTTTAAAAACGGATTTCTTTCCATTAAGGTATGAGAGCACTCCTTATAAGGATTGTTTTCTTTCCACAAAGGTATAAGAGCAGTCCTTATAAAGATTGGTGTCTGTCCAAAAAGGAATAAGAGCAGTCCTTATAAGGACTGATTTCTTTCCATTGAGGTATGAGAGCAGTCCTTATAAGGATTGGTTTCTTTCCACAAAGGAAAAGAGCAGTCCTTATAAGGATTGGTTTCTTTCCACAAAGGTATAAGAGCAGTCCTTATAAGGATTGGTTTCTTTCCACAAAGGTATAAGAGCAGTCCTTATAAGGATTGGTGTCTGTCCAAAAAGGAATAAGAGCAGTCCTTATAAGGACTGATTTCTTTCCATTAAGGTATAAGAGCAGTCCTTATAAGGATTGGTTTTTTTCCACAAAGGTATAAGAGCAGCCCTTATAAGGATTGGTTTCTTTCCACAAAGGTATAAGAGCAGCCCTTATAAGGACTGATTTCTGTCCACAGAGATATACATGTAAGAGCAGCCCTGATAAGGATTGGTATCTTTCCACAAAGGTATAAGAGCAGTCCTTATAAGGATTGGTTTCTTTCCACAAAGGTAAAAGAGCAGTCCTTATAAGGACTGATTTCTGTCCACAGAGATATACATGTAAGAGCAGTGCTTATAAGGATTGGTTTCTTTCCACAAATATATAAGAGCAGTCCTCATAATGACTCACCCATGTGATGTTATATCAAACGTCCTTTATCATAAGGATACCAGCATGGTACCAATGTCATAAACATTTTTGATATCCATTCAGTAGGTCATGCAAAGGGTAGAGGGGCACGGAAAAGAGGATATTTTTTGGAAATATTTGGAATCCAATCCTTATAAGGACTGCTCTTATACCTTTGTGGAAAGAAACCAATCCTTATAAGGACTGCTCTTATACCTTAATGGAAAGACATCAATCATATAGATGTCTAGATCCAGTCAATGGGCTAACTGGTAATGGTATCACCAGCACATATAGGATAGGGGGGGGGGGGGGTCAGGATACTTATCCAATAAATTAAGCTCTCTTGTTTACTGTTGGATTTAATTAAAAAAACAAGCATCATAAGCATCAGATAACTGTTCATTTTGTGAATATTTTCCAATTACAATATTGTCAACAGAACGCTGTGAATGCTGTGATTGCTGTGAGATCCGAAATCGGCAGCCTAGCAGAGCCGGGGTAATAGTTAGAGCCCCTTGAGCACCATGCATGGTAGATAAATATCCAATATTATTATTATTATTATTATTGAAAGATTCATAAGATCTGGACAGAAGGGGTGTTTGATTTCTGATTGAAAATTATTTGTCCAGATAACTAACCTGTCTGGATGCATAATGTGTGGGGATACAAATAACCAGAGATAGAAGTAGATCAAAATCCATGATCGCCAATCTCTGGAACAGACAAGTAAGCTAACTAGCAAGCAAGCACGCAAATGTAACGAGGAATAGAATAAAAGGTGTGACTTACTCTTTCATTAAGAACAAGGTTGCACATACACTCCGTAGCTGCTTGCTTGATCATGTCATGGTCCTCTAACATGTAATTCTCAACTTGCGAGAAGCCGGTTTCTTTGATTATCCTCGTCCTGTATGAAGGTTCAACATAATCATAAGGTTATGAACATGGGTGAAAAACACCAATAGGGGCAAGAGTTCGACTGTTTTTAAAAGCAAAAATAGCAGATGTCACACATTTAAAGGTACTATGTCCCATTTGCAGGTCAAAAAAATGAAAAGGTTAAATTCCAACAGGATTTGAAAGACAAAACTTATGTAGAGCTTTCCTCAAAACGAAAGGGTTTAAAAATGGCTTTTTGTCGGAAAATATCGACCAGTAGTTGTTGCATCGACATAAGTGATTGCAATCACCTAAGTAATAGTCTGAATTTCAGACCCTTGTACCGAATGGTCGTACGTTTTGTGCTGCACAAAGAGTCGATCAGTTTAATTTTGGCCATTACAAGAAGTGGGTTATTGATGTAGACAAACGCTCATGCACCTGTTACAGCTCATTTTATGTATGTTATTACCATAGAAAAAAAGATGTCAGTCAGTCACTTAATAGTGTTTGACGGGAAGTCTAGAAATTAAAAAGTTTTTCTTGCATAATTTGAATACTAGGACACTTCTAACGTTTAAATTTCACAGATAGTACATACATGACATATCCATAATTCCTGCAGAATTTGATGTTTGCTGCAAAAGGGACAGAGTATCTTTAAATATATGACACTGAAGTATATCATCGAAGTCCAACAGAGAGCAAGACTTTTATAACATAAGTCCTTTCAAATTAAGCTTAAAGATAAATGCACAATAATATTTGTTGCGGTAGTTGTTTTACAGGTAGCCAGTGTAGTGCAATAAGTGATATGAGATAAAAGAAGAAATGCAACTTATTGTATGTAGACAATGTTATGATATTTTTTTCTGTAAAGAACATTGAAATACATAATTTAATGCAATTTGACATGATCAATATATCATCAATGTAATCATTTAAACTGAGTAATTAACCGCACAGACATGAGACTGACCTGACTGCATCATTCATAGAAGCAAGATTAGTTAGAGCCATGAGGGCCTCAAAGTTCTGTAGGCCTGTATTCTGCACATCTAACAACTGAACCAAAGGACGAACAACCTCAAGATGCTGTAAAACAGACAGAAGAAATCAAATGTATAAGTAGAATGCGATCTCTCCAAACAGGCATAGAAAGTTGAATTGGTTAGTAGATTAATAACATTAATAGACATCACAGAACATTATCTTTCTCTTCAATTGGTTAGTGAACAGAAACATCAATGTGCTTGACATTGATGTGAACCAATTTAGACTTCAATAAAATAGTGTCCTCTTCTTTTTTTTAGGCTGGAACAAAATTATTAGCCTTTTCTGACAAAAAACTAGGCAAAGACAGGAACAGGGAACAGGAAAAAAAAGTTTAATTATCACCTTTTTGCTTAATATTCCTCAGTTCCCAAAATTGATTCTTAAAAAAAAAAAAATTGCAGTCCTAAATGACAGTGTTTTCATAATGCTTAGTTTCTCCCAGGCCCCCCCCCCCCTCCCCCAGTCAGGGAGATGCTCAAAATAACCCTGTAATAGCCCTGTAATAGTAATGTAAGGGTTAAGTGGCATGAGAGTACTTTAACAAAAAATTGTACATGTTTCAAGCCACATAATGAAAATAACAAAAGGTTTCTAAACTACAATAAAACCTTGGAATTTGAAACCACATACTGGACATAAATTTATTGACTCAATATCATTTTTAGCTGCTCCTCTCGTCATCAAAGTAAACAATTCACAAACGTACCCTCTGTCCTGGGAAGGCAACCTCTGGATTCATGGTGATACCGATCTTAGCCAGGGCCTGAGCAGCTCTTGTTTTTCCTTCCAGAGTACCTTCGATTGCTAGGGGGACCAAGGCCTTAGCCCCGCCCTGCTGCACGACTAAACCACGATGATCGATATCCTCCACCAAGGCTAGATACACCCTGTACAAGAACAGATCACTTTTAAATGATTTTATTGCGAAGATGAGAATTGTAAAACTTGCAAAGGTTCCACTTTGCATTTGGAGTAACGCCTCTCTGAGTGATGGGGTTTCTATTTTCTAGTTTCTCCTGAGAAATGTATATTACTACACTTTCCCAATTAGATTCCAGTAAACTTTGATTACAAACTTTTGATGAAGAGTTATAATTTTTACCCGAGTAAGAGGGTATTATCATGTAAGTATGGTGAAAATTTATAACTGATGCATTTATAATCGCGGTAGAGGTTTACGGTACACCATGTGTAAAGTCCTAGAAGGACTAAGGAAAGTGGATAGAAAATAGAAGTGAAATGGAAAGGCGAGAAAGTGGAGGTTGGAAGGAAGAGTATCTTTCGAGAGTATCTTTCTTTGATGCATTTATATGGATATAAAAAATAAATTAGTCTGAAAACAAAATTATTCTACCTCTATGGGCATCAGCAGATACATTTACAACTAAAATATTCATACCCTTACCAGCTTCGTAATGTTTTAAGTATATGATTTATGTTTCTTGAGGATGTGACATATTATAGCATACATCTAAAAGTATTCAACAAAGGCCCTAATTCAGCCCGTTCACCTTTCATTCTTGAGTTACAGAAAAAGCACAAGCTTTAAAAATTGTATGAATAATTCAGTTGTTAATTTTAATTAATGAATTAATAATGAGTTTTCACAGGAAGGACACCTTCTCCTTTGAAGTGCTCCTTCATTAATCTCGAAAAGAAAATACAGTTTGCAATATTTTGTTATATTACATTGCTTAGACCAATACAGAAACGTGATAGGTCCAGAGCTCGTCACGTAATATCAATTGCGAGGATCGTAATTGTTATATTTTCCTGGCCGGTCACTTTCCAGTACTATATTCACCATTTACAGGACAGAATGGGCATTTTGGCATTAAAAATGGCACACACACAAACAAAATATACCCCCCCCCCCCCAAAAAAAAAAAAAAAAAAAAAGGGTATTTTTTTGTTGTTGGAAAATCATACTGTCGTATTTACTTCTAAAAATCGTACAAAATACGATTAAATCGTACTGGTTGGCAAGTCTGCTATATAGGTGTTAAGTGTTAAAGGATATTAATGTTTTCTATACCTGCTTAGGAGCTCTCGACTGTTTTCACTCTCTGTCTTGGATAGCGCCACCAGTGCTGGTACAATGCCAGCTTTCAGAAGCTTCTTTATCCTCTGATCAATAAAATTAGTGGCATCCTGGAGAAGATGTTAGGAATATAAATATAAATGTGTATATATATATATATATATTATACAGTTATTGACTGGCAGGGGGTGTAATATAACATTATTTGGACCGCTAAAGAGAGTTATATTTCCCAAGTGGTTATATTTTCCCGAAGCGCGCAGCGCTGAGGGAAAATATGGTCACGAGGGGAAATATAACTCCCTTCAGGTCCAAATAATGTTATATACCCCCTGCCAGTCAATTACTGTTATATTAGATAGCCCTTTTTTGTGGGGGGGGGGGGGTCCAAAAATTGTTTGCCCGAGAAAAAAATACCCTTTTTTTCTCGGAAATTACGGAAAAATAATCTGTCGAGATAGTTCAAGAAAGAAAAAAAAAAAAAATTGGGGGGGGAAAAAAAAAAAAAAAAAAAAAATCGAAAAAAAAAACAAATTCTTACCCAAAAAGCATTTTTGGGGGAAAAAAAAGAAGAAAATGTGGAAAAAATAATTTCAAGGAAAAAAAAAATTCATGAAAAAAAAATATTGACAAAATTAAAATGACCTTCGGTAATGGTGTAATGTGTGTAATTGGTGACATACAGTCCTCAAGAGGGCGACATGCATTGATTAAAAATATATTCATTTCACCAGCTGGTTAATATAACACCGAAAAGTGACCGGCCAGGAAAATATAACAATTTGGATCCTCACAATTGATATCACGTGACGAGCTCTGGACCAATCACATCTCGGTATCTGTCTAAGCTATCTAATATATATATATATATAACAAAACATACATTATGGTAGTTGTAAATACTAGCACTAGAGAGGATTTACTACATAGATAAAGTATTTGTCATATTATCATTCTCATTGTTCCTACTCATAAATTGTATTGTTTGGAAGAAGATAAATGTTCATTTGAATTGAAGAAAAAAAAATTGTCATTCTGGAGAAAAGGTTGGCTAATATACAAAGCGGTGGATGTATGGACTGCTTGGGTCAATTAGATATAAGACTAGACATTACTGTCATAACTTCTTTCAAAGTCAAATGATTATAATAAATGGTTCCTCTCATGTATCCTGCATTGATATCAGAAATAAGATGACACGTAGCTCTATGGACTTAAACATTGACCTCTAACCTTTGGATGTTCTTCAGGAATGTGCTGTTTAGCATAGCGAGCTAACTCCACCAGCTGAGGCTCTGGCTTCTGTACATCGTAGCAATTGGTCAGATTCACAAACGTTGATACCACTCCATACAATACAGTCTTATCTGATGTCTGAAAAAATAGACAAGTGATGATATAGTTATGGGAACCTAGCCCAGAAAGCCTTTATAAGTTTGTTCTTTAGTTTAATAGCTAATTTAGTTATAATGTATATTTCGCATTCTTTAGAAGTACTGATGTTAAAGTGCTTTTAATACCTTGGAGAGATCCATCAAAGCTTGCAGTGTTTCTGGATCATCAACGATGGCTTCTTTCACATCAGCATCTAGTGACAGGTAAGCCAGGCCCTCGGCTGACCATTTCTTCAGGTCGTGGTCTTTCTGGGAATTCACCAAAAAACTGTAGAAAAAAAACACAGTTCAAATTCAAAGACGAAATGCCATAAAAATAATTTCATTCTAAATAACTAAGCTATCTAGAACAAATACCATACAAAGAGCACAGATAAAAGACTACAAATGACAAAAGACATAGGTATATCGCAAAATATTTTCTTAAGTTATGAAAGGGAAACAAACCTATGTGTGCATAAAGTTTTTAAAGGTCCCCTCTAACCCAACTAAATTAGCCTTTCAAAACATGAGTGCACCTCTACTTATTATATTCCAGCCTAACATTTTTCAGAAAATCTCTATATTGACCAAAAATGATAATAACCATCCATTTTTCACAGATCTCAAGCTTGCTGGGCTTCAAAAGGGTAATACGGTCACGCAATACAGCTCCGAAACTAGGCTCTTTTTTTTTTAGCGTTTTAAGTCGTCATTTTTAAAGCTAGATTCCAGAATTATAGATGATTTCTAAGAAAAATCATTGTCATATTCGGAATCTCCATCAATTTTTTTCTACATGTCTTTTTTGGTTAGAGGGGACCTTTAAGATAACTGGGATAAAATGATTGAAGTGTAATATAAATGTGATTGGATGAGTATATGTGCGCTTGTTAAAAGGCGACTGGCTGGAATGTTCCCCGGTGGAGTGTTGAATGTAGTGTTAAGTTCAGAATCATGGTTGAATCCTGTCGGAAGGGCAATGAAACACTGCAAGAACTTCTGTCGGTTACTTGCAACAGGTAAAGTGCCATAGAAAAACAATTATTAATTATTGCATCTTGGACTTTGGAAAAGTAAGAATACTGAATGAAAATGAAACAGTCACCGACATGTTTAACTTTCATGTTTCTTACAGATCACACATAATGGAGACATTTACCTTCTAACTTGTTTGGCAAGTTTAACAATCGATCCATCAGCAAGAGGCTTTAAACTGAAGTCTGTTCCACCCGCAGATCCCAGCTTGCAGAGTCCTACCAGTGCCCTTACTTTGATGTGGTCATTGGGTGATTTGTAAAGGTCTTTCATGATGTTGATTCCATTCTGTAGGACTCCTGTACAGTGTTCCTTCTTACCCGCAGCGTAGATAATGGCTTCTAGAGCTACTCTCTGCCAAGAAAACAGAAAGAAGAACATTGAGTAACTTGTTCAGCTTGAACAGTTGTTTCTTGAGCCACTCTCTTCCAATGCAGAACATAAAGAACAATCAAAGAATGACTTGTACGGCTTTTTCATTATTGGAAATTTGACTGACATGTGTGTTGTTTAAAAAAGAATTTTCACATGTTTGAATAACTGCATTACATAATGGCAACCCAGATGTGCTTAAAATGAGGAAATGATGTTCAGAGTCTTCTTCATGCAAATGTCTTCCTAAAACAAAACAATTATAATAACAATACTCAGTTTTTATATTGCGCTTATTACAATCACTAAGCGCTTCCAAACTTGGAGATTATTAGCCAGGCTTTAGCTGTGCTGCCATTACGGCGCTCTAGCATTTCAAAGAATTAATACCCGCCAGGTACTCATTTACATCACCTGGGTTGAGTGTGGCAAATGTAGATCAATGTCTTGCCAAAGGACATTATTATTATTATGATTGCCGCCGCGGGTTTCGAACCGCGGACCCTGTGATTAACAGTCCCGCGACTTAACCACTCGACCATGGCACCTCTACAATCCCAACCTGACCATAAATCAATTCAATGTGTACCTGGTGAACTACATCACTACTGGCTGCCATGGCGATCATAACCTGTAGGACCCCCTCACGGGTCAGAAGTTTCTGGCCGACTTCTGTAGGTCCTTGCAGCAGGGAGGAGATGGCCGTTAACACTTCCATGTTGGTCTCCATGCTGTTCACACTGAATTTCTCACTGTAAGTCAAAATAACAAATATAAGTCATCAATGGGATTGCTATCCAAACTTACAGATCCAAGGAATGTTAGATACATTTTAAGGTTCATTCCCAATTTTGGGGATGCAACTCAAAATGAATGGAAATTAGTCATCAATGGAACTGCTTTCAAACTTATAGATCCAATGAATATTAGATAAACATTTAAAGGTTCATTCCCTAATTTAGGGATGCGAATCAAAACCAGTATTATAGACAAAGCCATGTAAAGTAACCAAAGATTGAAATGTTACTCTAAATCATTAGCTTTCCGGACAATTTACAGCAGTTCTTATCTCAAAAAAGATAATGTGATTCAGAAGGAATAAAGAGGAACTTGTATACCTTATTTTTTCAGTTTGAACGAACTATCAAATTCAATTATTTTCACTGACTGATACTTCATAAATCAAAACATCATAAATTCAGTTACCAATTTTAAGTACAAATTTTTCACTTCCTAATTTTTGACATGAAATACAACACACAACATTATTCAATGAACATTAAGGGCAAAATATACATGTAAACTTTAAGAAATTTGGAATTTATGAATGAAAACAATAGACTACATTAAGGAAAAATACATTCTACAAACCTAACAAATTTATCAGCCATGTCTTGGTAGTATGCTCTTTGTTTGTCGCTGTGCATCTCCTCATACAGCTTGTCAAGAGCGACAGAGGCATGCATGCGTGTGTTTGATGTGACACGAAGACGTTTTAGTTCAGGTACCTGACCAGCTACATTCATCAGTTTATGTAAGCCTGGATGGACAGACAGACAGACAGAGGAAAGGTATGAATTCATTGAGTTAGTTCTATAATGAATATCATTTCAATACTTATTTCATTTTCAAACAAACTGTTGATGTGTTAAAGTGACAGATTTTGACATGGCTATGAAAATACTTATTGTAGAAACATTATGAACTTCTCTTGAAACGTAAAAGAAAAGAAAACAAATTGAAGCATAGTAATCATTTTGAAAGGAGAAAATGACACTGAATCTAAATTTTTTTTCAAAATAATCAGAATTTCGGTTATTCAGTGGTGCAGATTTTTAAGACATCATTGAAACTAGGAGTAATTTTACATTTCAGGCCATTTTTGCAATCCATATATTCTTGCTTCTCATATTAAACCTTTGGTACTGAATATTCAACATCAATTTTTTGAAAATTAAAGGTAAAGACCAGTATTGGAAAGGCCCAATTTCAAAAAATGAAATGGAAGCTCTCATTACCAATCATGTGAAAAAATATGTTTTGACTAATACATGATGATAAAAAATTTGCCGGGAAACCGCCTACTAATTCATATATTTGGTAAATTTGTTTCTCTCATGGTCTGTGAGAGATATAGGGTAGTCCCATATACATCTTGCTGTGTATAGTGCTTGTAACTTTACGAAGGATGGGCCAAATTTCTTATCATTTTGATGATTCCAGAACCTTGCAGATGCTAGATGCTAGATGATCAACCTTTTCTGATCGATTCCACAACGTTTCTTTCACAATGCAATCGCATGACCATAACTGGTCTTTACCTTTAAGCATGTTTAACTAGTTTTATCTCAGACCATTATTTTTTATCTCAAAGATCTATTTTGGGGGTGGGACACTGTCTTTACTTAATAATAATAGTAATATTGGATATTTATATTATACAAATAGTGAATGGCCATGAGTGCAATGGTAAAAGCTTTTGCACGAGGTGAAAGATAAGAGACGCTATATTCAACAAGGTGCTGCCAAGTTGAATGGAGCGTCTCATATTTCACCGAATGCAAAATCTTGTTCATTATAAAGACCATTCACTATTTGTTTTATACAACGTCTTGGACGTTAATGGGCTTAAAAGAGTTTTCCTGGGCCTAAATCTCAGCGATTTTTTGTTTGTGTTTAATTGATGAAATTGCCGATAGTGAGCACCCACTGTTAAGCTGGCATCAAACCATGAGCGTACCAAGCTTTATGTTTATTGTGACGTGGAGTATAATTTTGTTTGATCCATTGGTACCATTGCATGGCGATGTCACTTACCTCACCATATACTTTGTACATCATTAGTGACATCAGCGTGCATGGTGCGAAAGGATCAAACGGATTTGCACGGCTGGAGAATGATGCCGTTCAACAGTACTTATAGCGCATGTCATGTGATCAATAATTGACCAATGAGGTTGCAAGAATCTTAGTAGGCGTTGTATAAAGCACACTTATCCACCATGCATGGTGCTCAAGGCGCTCCAACTATTACCCGGCTCTGCTAGGCAACCGATTGTGCCGCTCACAGCATTCAAGGAATTCCTTAATTACTGATTACTGACCTCCATTTGTAAGGAAAGCCATGGCTCTTCCTGCTCCTTCTTTCCTTGGGATGAACTTGATGATCATATCAATGACTGCATCCCTCCCGTATCCAGAGACAGACTTATCAGTAAGAAGACCCAAGAAGAATAGCAGCAACGCTTTGAACTCATTGGAGTAATCTACAAGGAAACATATCACGTGGTTGAAGTCAAATATGTGTATCAATCTCCCATCAGTCTTCAAAGGGGCAAGTGAAGAGTATTTGTTCTCTTTGTGTCCCATACTTCACAGGGTAAATTAACAAATAAATAAACACTAAACATAACATTTCACTTGAAATTTGGTCAATTTCTAGTACGGCTTTCAACTCATTATAATTATCATATTGTTATTGATATGTACTAAAAGATCACTTTGCTTTCGAAATATTGAATATTGAGGGTGTTTACCTTCTGAAGCTAATGGCTATGTTCGGAATATCTACTGTTGTCCCACATATATACGTATGTTTGTTATATGAGAAATAATGAGTGCAGACTCAGATAGTCATGGTCACGGTTTGTTTATGACACAAGCGACTGGGAATTAGACATCAAATTAGCTTACGCAGGTATATTTTGGTACAAGACGAACAATATGAGACCAAATACCACGTCTTATTCAAATTATCCTTTTGCAAGTACAACTGAATATATTTTATTTCAACTCTTTTTAAAACCCATTTCAGCATAGCTGGAGTTATGAAAACATCAATGACATCATCAACCGGGAGGTCGTGGGTTCGAACCCCGGCCGCATCATACCAAAAGACGTTAAAAGACGGGAGTTGCTGCTACCTTTTTTGGCGTTCAACAATAAGGGATAGAGCAAGGTCGATCTGGCGCTGCTCAGGGGTTGGCGGGCTCACGATCAATTGGGCAAAAAGAATTTCCATTTTCGGTTTAACTTAATAAAATTTAGAGTGGACTTTAAAAGATTATTATTATTATTATTATTATTATTATTATCACCAATAGAAGTCAATGGTGACAGCAGTGTGAACTCACCTGGTACCACAGCTTCTTCACTGTGCTTAGCCTCCTGTTTATCTTTGCCCAGCATTGCTTGAATGGCAGTGAGAAGGATGCCTGCAGCAGCATTAGCAATGACTTCAGAATCCATAGCGATGTACTTGGCAAGAGTTGTTAAAGTGAGTTGTGCAATTACAGCAGTTGCCTGTAATAACATATTTTAGAAATCTTTTTAAAAACGATTAAAGCTAGTTTTCCCACTTTGGAAAAACAACGGATATGGCACGATATTCTTCATTTCAACTTGAAAACATAATTACTCACAAGATTGTGTTTGCTTGTTTGAATATAATCATATTTTTCAAAATGGCAAGTCCAAGATAATAACTAGTTCGATACTAAGCCCAAGATAATTCAGGGAAGAGTCAGAGGAAATGCACTTAATAACCACCATCAAATCATATCCCAAAGTTTGATAATCTGGCATCTGATACAATACTGTAATCAACACAATATTGACACTGTCTGTATGTACCGGTATGTATGTATTATGTATGTATTAAGTATGTACTATCTAGGACTTGCCCATCTACACATCGGTATATGGCTTTGAAATTCAAAAACACCCTTTTATCACAGTTTAACCTCTTTAAGTTTCAGAGTGTACGTCTCTTTAAAGGCATTACAATAGGCACTTATGGCAAAGAAATGTCGTATTCATAAGGCCAGGTTATCAGTAGCAATATATCTTGTTGAATTCAATCAAATCTGCCCCAAGTCTGTTTATTTCATTCTGAGCTTCCCCAGTATACACAAACTTACCCTTGATCTGTGTCCACCACAAAGGCAAGAGATAACTCGTAGAGCTGCTACTACTAATTCAGTATCCTCTAACGTCATGAGCTTCTTCATGTGCTCAACACCGTTCTCTCCAAATATCCTTTCTGCTCCTGCTGGCTCTCGGGCAAGGACAATAAGATTGTTGGCTGCCTGAAAAGGTCAATACAAGGATAAACGATGAGGGGAACTCTCATGACAGAATCATAGATGTAGTAATACCACAGTCACATAAACATGACCGATACTAAAGCAAGAGTAGATGGAAAAAAACTAAAAAAAACGCTTACAAAAAAAAGCCATTACCACAATTCCACAATTAATCAGGTATGGAAGTGTCAATGAGAGATGGGACAAGTATTCTGATTAAAAAGGAAAAAAGACTAAGTTTAAGAGGTAGTGTCCATGGGTGATTAGATGACAATTCATATTCCCATATTACTCCAGTACAGCTCCTCCCAGATAACTATTATAGGTGGCTAGACCATAAGCAATTAGAAAACCGCCTTGTTGGACTATTACAACAGAATCTACCCCAAACAACATATTTTACGGTCTCTCTGAAAATATAAGAAAACTGTACATTGTATACGTGGTATATTAAACAATGTTGCTTCTTTATTTATTTTTCTTTATCTTGAAAACAGAAGTAATGTGGGAGCCCTTTCAGCTTTTTTTTGCCTTAAGTTTGTGATTTTTCAGGGCAGGGTACAAAAAAATGTTTTTTCTGTTTACATGAGCAGTTAAGATTTGTGTTGTAAGAGAGAATTTTTCCCAGACATATATATTCAAGTATTTTATTGATATTTTAACAGAGCTCTTTTCTAGCTTTCAAGAGCTAATTGGCTCACAGGTTCCATGTATTCTTTTCGCTGGTTCAGGATGGTCGCTGTCTTGATACAGACTTACCTCTCTTCTCTTTTCTAAACCTGCTGATTCATCAGCAGCAATGGTGAACATCTGTTCTACTTTGCTATTGGTGGAAGTCATTGATTTGACCTAGTGAGAGAAATCAAGATATTGCAATGTGTCAGAACTCAACAATTACCAATAAAAACATTTGCACATCAACTTAAAAAAAACAAATAAAAAAAAACTGCCATGTACACTAGATAACTGTGTCGGGCAAGGTCTTGAGACATATTTCTGATAGAAAAAAAATTATATTCCTATGCAGGCAACATTATATGGGCTAACATGTAAAGTACGCAAGATCCTGGACAATCCTGTTATAACGAAGGTCCTCATTATGAACACCCCCCTTATAACTAATCATTTTTAAAATTTGAAAAACACATACCGGTGCTCGGTATGTTTTATTTCATCTGATGTACATACATGTACATACTTTGCCCAGACAAAATACATCACTCTAATCCGTTTTGGAAATAATCTTCTGACAGCATAACAGTGTACGCGTCAGGTTTTAAAGTTTAAACATCTTACTTTTTCTTTGAGGAGGACATTCATTCTTGTTAGCATTGCTTGAACAGATTTGTTGTTTGGATCCATATGGTTGAGTTGCATGGCTGATTTGAAGGCTTCTTCAATCTGACCTAGAGCCTCCAAGGCTTGACACTTTCTGAACATGGCCTTGAAGTCTGAAGGATTTAGGTCCAGAGCTGAAATACATAGTAAAAATAAAGCTTAACATTACTCAGTCTGGATGATTAGGGCATTAATCTATTCTTACTGCCCCCATCCCCCCACAATAAACAACAAAACAAACACCACACATTCTAGGAAAAATGACTATCATTTACAGAATAAACAGAGGAATTTTTCTTAGTAGTTATATATTATGTATTTTTTAAATGTGATTGCATTTTTTATTTAGTGTTTGACAGAAGATCATAAGGAATATGTGGGAGAGGCATGAGGGATTATGAAGGACAAAGACAGGGTTGAGAGTGTCAGAGAGGAAGGAGAGAGGGTCTACACAGATTTGGGAGTGTTGGAGACTGACGATAGAGGACCAAGAGAGCAAACAGTATTCAGGAGTAGACAAATGGATGCCTGTGAAACCTAATGAGGAGTTGATGCGGAGAGGAGGAGAGGCTCAGAGGGCAAAGAGGGGTGAAGGAGGACTACATGTACAACAGATGTTGGAGAAAATATGAGAAATAGAGACCTGCTTTGGCATCCTGAGCAGCCTGTTCATTGTTTTCTAGCTTGAGATGACATGCTGCTCTGTTCTTATAGAAGACTGCTTGGTCTGACTTGGGCAAGTCCTGACCCAAGGTGAGAGCCTTTGTGTAGGCTACTATAGCTTCATCATAGTTCTCATCCTTGTAGAACTTGTTTCCCTCTTCCTTGTACTGGAGAGCTTCAGAGTTCTGTAACATAAAACAATTAAAAGAAAATATTATCATTTTCTGTTTTAAACTACTTTTTACGGTTTGAAGATCACGCACTGTACAGTTTGCATCAAACATGTATACATTGTAGAACATACTAAAAAGTTCATTTTAGAAAGTGGTATCTAATCTATTTATTTCAGACTTACAGTCTCCATCCATAGGCTGCTTAGGCTTTGACTGTTTGACAGTTTAAAAATCTGGCCCGGCATCCACGGCAATCACGGCCTGTCACGTTTGGCCATCCTGTTTTGACCATGGTGGCCTGAAACGTGATTGCAGTGGACGCCGGGGAACATAATGTAAACCTACCATTAGTTAGTGGCTACATCGTATATGCTGCCCTGTAGTGTATGCAGTAAGAGCAGGAGAGGGCAGCAAATGAAAGTTTTCATCATTACTACAGGTGTATATTGTTTTGAGAGTATGAGGTTATACAGTGCACTCAACACATGGTGCTTCAATTCATTTTTAAAGACATTCCACATTATTGGGTATTTAACCAACAAAAAAATTCTTGAACATTGTATTATCAAGATTGATGCAAAATTGCTAATATGAAAATTATATTGACATAGAAAAAGTGGCATTTTCCTGTTCTAATTAATACAATTGTCAACACATTACCTTTGTGTTTCTTCTTATCTTCATTGCAGACACATTAATCATGAAGGAAGTACAGAGTATGCACTATGCAAGAACCTCTGCTTATATTATAAATAAGTGCATTAGCATACTTATAATAATGTGCTTGTTCACAACTTCAAGAATGTGTCACAACTCTTAACCATGAGTGAAATTCAAAGGGGGATAACAAAAATGCTTTTCTTTTCCTGCAACAAATCAAAATGCTTAAAAGCACTATTATGCTTAGAGGGTAAGTAATGTTATTCAATGTCTTAATTGAAGACAATTACCACAAATTAGACCATATTCCCACAGAAACACATACCCTGCTAGTCAAATGTCACGTTCATTCCAGGGCTGTCAACTTTGGGGAACTGCTTCAAGAAGGATTTTTCAGGGGTGATAGTGAGCACTATAAATAAAATCTTCTGTTTTCTTTACTCTACACCCCCCCCCCCCCCCTTGAGCAAACAAAACTTTACTCAACACGTACCCCCCCCCCTTATTAAGCAAACAGTTTTTTTTTTACTCAATACCCCCCCCCCCCCCCCCCCCTCAGCCTTGAGCTGCTTCGTCCTTATTTACCACTATCGAGCGAACCACAATGGAAAAAAAACCATTCAATAGTTCCTTATTATTTTGGTACGGTAGATTTTCATTTTACACGTTTGGCGGGAGGTTTTTCCAGAAACCGGGTGATTCTCCTTCGTTTGCGGGAGGAAGGGCGTGGTGGAGGGAATCTCCCACCACGAATTCGTGGGACGGCAGGAGAAACAGCGTGGTGGCGTTAGATGCTACCTCCAAATGCAGGAGGGTTGACAGCCCCGTTCATTCTCTCCTACAGTAATTACTCTATCTCTTCTTAGTTTTTAACAAATAAAGTTATTTTTATTTTTAATCTAAACAATACAAATACAAATCTATGACTATTAATCTGATATTTAGTTTCTCCATTTAATACAACCAAATTTTGAATGTATTTCTGAAAATATCGTCCCGCCCACAATGGCATCCACATTTAGACCTAGACTCTATATTGGATTCACTAAATCACAAGAACAGAGACTGAATTTTATATCAAAATTATAAAAAATAGACCTATGGAGTATTGACCAAATAGCAGCATTCACTAGCTATGACAGTTTGCCGACTTACTAATACTAAGTAGGTTCAACATCACCATTCACCACACACATATTACACACGTTGTTTACATTGTGCATCATCAAGATTGTCCAACCATACGTCTATGGTCCAACCCATCTCAACCGCGTGTGTGTTTGGAATGCAAAGAATGTCATTGTGAACGCTTGTGAAGTTTCCAGAACAAGGCAGAAGGTTCATGATCACTTGTGTCTCGACTCTTGGATTCAACATCATTACGAAAATACAAATGAAAAAACACCTCTGTGTGCATTAATATGAACAAACACTAACACTCTATCAAATCAATATATCACACTTCGGAGTATTTTCGAAGACGAGAATATCATATTTTTGTGCGTCAATAGTCGGAAGTATTGAAAATTACGATCCTTAGCGGACCAACGAGAGATCCTATACGCTAGACCGCCGGCGCACTCAGCCCCCAGCAAAGGCCCTACCATACCATCTTTTCTTTGTGATAATAAAGCATATAAACAGACTAAAAACGAATCAATTTAAATTCTCGATGAATAATAAACATACATATATTTATATCACCAGGAAAAACAAATGATAATCTTACCGAATCGTCCGACATAGTTACTTTACTCAGTTATTTCACGGATAGAACTTTACTTTAGTGCACACACGTATTATATCGTACAGCCCTCGCATATATATGACAACCTCAATTCCAGAAATGACGTACCGTATGTGAATCGCAGCGATGCAAATGCATAGAGTTAGGCTACGTCAACGTAGTCTATACATTCTGTTTATTTTCATGTGATGGTTAATTTTCTCCTGCTCGGCGTGCCGTTATGTAGCATTCCATTCCACTGAGAGAGCTGTGATCATTAGAACAAATTTTATTTTGTTTTCATCAGCTCTTTCCTTACATGATAATTCAGTTTGGATCCAGGATTATCTGATTGTGTGTGAGTGTATTTAGGGGCCGGGGGGGGGGGGGGGCACTCTCGGTAAATAAATGCCGGGGCACAACTAAGGGGCACATTTATTGGTTTTTATCCCGCCCCCCCCCCCTCCCCCACTCCGGGGTCGGAATGACCGCATGCGTGTTACCAAAATGTTCGGTAAAGGAGTACTTTTCGTGCGACAAAGTCCGGCCCGAGAATTGTAAGAAAAGGGGGTGTATTTGACTTTCACCCGGAGATTTCTTTAAAAAGGTTTTTTTTTTTTTCCTTTTTTTTCTCATCTCTTTGGACTCCTGAGAAATTATTCAGAATTTAGGGGGGTACATTGAGCATTTTTCCGAATTTAGGGGGGTCTCCAAGGCAGGAAAAGCCCGCGAAAAGCCCGCGAAAGGGGGTTCGGAAATGTTGGCAGTCCTCAGATAGGGGGTGCTTTCAAAAAGAGGGAACTAGCATATCCGTACCCTAAATAACACTGAGTGGGGGGGGGGGGGGGGCGGGGTTTTTATAGGCCAAGTTGGGTCAAGTTTGCCGCCGGCACGTGCCCTCCGCCGCCTCCCTCCCTTCCTCCAAGTCAGGCCATTCCACCACCGGGGAACAAAATGCCTTAGACTGGGTAATATGGTTAATTCTATTCTTGCAGTCCGAAAACTGTGTACGCTGGTTACATTATAATGTACCCCCTAACAAAATTGTATTTAAACCGGCAAACCAAGTTAATCAAAAATTTGAAAAGGTTTCCTATAAAAGTGATGTATCTCATTACAGTATCACAACATCAAAAGTAATATAATTTTAAATTCTAACCCATTTGTGTTGTATATGGTTTTCACGACGTAAATGAAAATGTTACAGATATTGATTAATACTTCATTATGCTTTATTTGCAATCTATAAAGCGATAGTGTTGGAAATCAATTTAATACAAATGTAGTAACGAGAATATAAACAAATATTTTTTGTTTAAGTTGAAATACAAACTAGAAGTAGAGGAAAACAAAAACTAAGACAACAGATTTGAATATATAGTAAGTGGATGAAGACAATTACTGATTTACAATCTGCTATTAAGTAAATAGAGATATATAATTTGATTTGATCTCATTTAAATATGTGATTAAGTGCTTTGTTATGAATATTTATGCACGATGTTATTCATGATTTTATCTGAATAAATATTTATTAAAAAAATAAAAAATAAGCAAAAAGTAATATAATTTAGTTTTGGCTACACAATTATTATCAGCATCGTAGGAATGTAAGTACATATTTCATGATCAAAGAGATTTTTCGCATGGAACAACAAGCATCCGTTTTAGTTGAAGTTCTAATTGATCATTGATTGATTAGTTGATTATTTAGTTGACAGCTTCACGGATTGAGCCCTCAATAGTAGGCTAATGATCGCATGTGTTGAGTGTCCAAATTAAACGAGGATAGAGCTGACATTGTATATTATACTGTTTGAGCTTTAATCTATGCAAATATTAAATGCAAACAGAACAAACAATCATTATAAGCCTAATATTAGTTAATTAGTTTAAATTCATTGCATAACAAATAAAAGATAAGAGGGAAGGGAGAGAAAAGGAAAGAAACAGAGAGAGAGAGAGAGAAAGAGATAGAGAGAGAGAGAGAGAGAGAGAGAGAGAGGAGGAGGAGGAGGAGGAGGAGGAGGAGGAGGAGGAGGAGGAGGAGGAGGAAGGGGTGCTGGAGTGGGGGGGGGGGCGGAGGGTAGCCCGTTTTCACAGTAGACAAAAATGATCTGCCTGTTTTCTTGTTTTTAACACAAATTGTTTGTAAGCAATAATATTATCGACAATGTCCATTGCTGATAATCTGTAATGATGAGAATGAGAAACGTGAGCCCCCAAGCTCCCCTGTAGAACTGATCCTTCTAAAAGTAACCGCCCTTTACTTGTGGACAGTATAATCCTATATTGAAATGACAACACAAGACCTTCTTGTTGATAAAATTGGTTTGAATAGTGAAGGGGAAGAAAAAGCACAATAAAACTGCCTTTGTCTTTTATCTTTTTCTGGGTGTCACTGAACTCGCCTATGAACGTTTGCTAATCGGTTAGGTCAATTAAGACTTGATTGGCTTAATCGTTTATCTAAACCATGGACTTATCTCTATCTCTATAACACAAGTAATAAAAACAAAAGGGTATAGGATTGTGCTCTTTGAACCTGTTATTAAAGTTTGTCACAACTTACTGATCTTGTGATTATTTCCCAGGAATATTTCGTCTGAAGTGGTGTGTGTTAATCACAAAGGCATCAGTTGGTTGTGTATATAGGCCTAACATTTTTAGGTATATAAAACCTCAGAAAGACCAGATATTGGGTAAGACTAGTAAATAAGTTATTGTTTTCGAATATTGGTGCATTGATTTGTTAATATTGGTGTTAATGTTTTTGTTTGGTTGAAAAAGCTGTCAATAATACGCATTTATCCCAGTATCAAAATAATTATCGTTCATAATTTGTCTTATTGTTCAATGTTGTTTTAATGTACGTTGGTTTTGATTTGATAAAGCATTCGATCTCTCTATCATACTGTAGCCATTATACATGTCGTGTGATCAGATCTCACCAGACGAGTTGTATCATACCGGTGTGTGTGTGTGTGTGGGTGTGGGTGTGTCTGTGTGTTTGTGTGGAGGAGGGGGCAGGGCGGAGCAGGCATTGCACCGGTGAAATAACCTCCACATTTGTTTAAGTTTTTTGTTGTAAGATAAGTGAATAATATATGTACAATTGACCTATAAATTATGTTTATGTACTTTTACTTTTACTAAGTTTACTTTGTTGCTATTATATATACTGCAAGTTACTTTTTGTTTGATTATTAAAAACGTTTATTTATTTTATTAAATTGTATCTTTTGTTTGTATTCACACATTTGGAGGAATGAAACAAAACAAAACAAAAACATTGTGTGTGTGCTCGCGCATGTGTGTTTGTTCCTCATTGTTGTTGTTTGTTTTACACTGAAATAGAATGTGCTGCATCCGATCTATATCAGATCATGCCGTTCTATTTCCTTTTTTCGTAAAAAATTTCAACCTAATGCGAAGAAAAAAAACGAGAAGGAAAAGGTTTTGGTAGGATATCCACAACCTTTTCAAATGGGAAAAAAACTGCAATAAAATACATTGTAAAAGTGGTTAGAATGATTAGGGTCGTTATATGAAAAGTGAATAATACACCTGGTGCAGAGTTCTCATAATTGTTTTGTTTTGAATTTATTTGGATGATTTTGGTCAATTAGATATCAAATACCATTATACTTTGCAGATAAACTAATATAAATGATGTTTCGGGCATATTTATAACAAGTCTTTATATCTCAACGTATTACCTGAAATTCACTTGAATCATTTTCCAGTTCAAAGATCATCCGAGATGTCGAATGGACTCATGCTTGGTGTGAAAGCTGCAATCCTGACTGCAGCTATCATAGCAGCCGTCCTCTGCGGCATGCTGCTCATACCCGACAAGGACGATCCTCAACGCGACTTCCAACTCGTGTTCAACGATGACGTGATCGAGATCAAGAATGCCGAAGATTTGAGACTGATAAGGGGACAGGTCGGGGTCATGTTTGAGGAAGGCGATGCTCAACAAACACCCTGTACAAAGGACGAATCGGTGGGCAAAAAACTCCTGAATCAAACATTTTCAATAAAAATATGTAGTCCTAGCTATTAAAACAAAAAATCAAAGCAGGGCGGAACTATGTTAGGTCAGATAGTAACCATATTATGTCGAAGAAAAATGACCCCTGACAAGAAAATCAAATAAAAAGACATAAGGAATATGATAGTTGAGTCAAAATAAATCTTGGAAACATCACTTCCAGTGCTTAACACTCGTTTATTCCTCTCTTATGTAGTAGCAGAATGTAATTAATGAGTTATCGTTATGTTGTTTTGAATGTAAATTTCTTACTGAAGCGAAATCAAGGAATGAAATATAAATGTTTTTTAAATTAAATAGTTAGCATGTATGAGTCAAGGAACTTCAAACACAATCAACACAATAAAGGATTAATATACAATGTTGACATTATTTGTTACTCGACAGGTCATCGAGTGTTACGAATGGCCTTCGATTGCCAAGTTAGAAGTTCGAATCGAGGAGGACGAGAATGTGACGTGCCATGACTACCAATGGAGAGCATCAGCGGAGAACATCATCCTGCAGGACTGCTACGAGATCGACGAAGCCCACTGGTACGGTGGAGCAGCCATCTTCAACCAGCACTGGCCAATCAACGAATGGAACGAGCCAATGACTATATTTGGTTCAGCCAATATGTACAGGAATCCGACTTGGTATGGCTCTTTGGTCGAGCGATATTTTGTGTCTTCCAAGGGCGTCGGTGTAAGGCTATCCCACAACACACCTCTGTACGTCAGCATCAACGCCAGTAACGATGGCAAGATCTGCTTCAGAGGACAATATCCACTTAATGCAGATTCATATTCCTCTTATCCAAACCCGAATAACGACTTGCCTGTCTTGGATTATAAGATATGTACTGCCAAAGACGTCGTCACTGTTCATGAATACATGTCGAAGAGGTTTGTGAAGAAACCTACAGGCATGCCGGATACCCGAATGATGAAATCACCGGTCTGGTCGACATGGGCTCGGTACAAAAAGTTCATAAACGATAGAATTGTATTAGCCTTTGCACATGAGATTATTGATAACGGTTTCAATAACAGTCAAATAGAGATAGATGATGGTTACTCTTACAGAAACTTTGGAGACTTCATTTTTGACCCTGAAAAGTTTCCGGATCCTAAAAATATGACCGATGAGTTACATGCTCTCGGCTTCAGGGTCACATTGTGGATTACGCCATTTGCCAACCAGAATACAGAGGCTTGGAAAGAAGGTGACTACAATGACTACTGGGTGAAAGACTCGGTAGGAAATACTGCCGAAGTGTTTTGGTGGAACGGACCACGAGCTGGAATGATCGATGTCACTAACCCAAAGGCTGTTGATTGGTTTGTTGGAAGGCTCAAGCAAGCACAGGCAGATTATGGTATCGATTCGTTCAAATTCGATGCGGGTGAGACACAGTACCTTAGCAGCTACCACACCAAGGAACCGTTGATCAACCCCTGTGAGTTTACAACAAAATGGGTCCAACTGGCTGGACAACTAGGAAACTTGATAGAAGTTAGATCTTCATTTGAGAATCAGGGACAGTCAACTTTCCTGCGTATGATGGACAAAGATTCTCACTGGGGCTGGGACAATGGTCTCAAAACCCTTATCACCACTGCCCTTACGTATAGTGTCCTTGGTTATTCCTATGTCTTACCCGATATGATCGGAGGCAATGGATATCCATTCTTTTCTATCTTTCCTGATCGTGAACTATACGTCCGATGGCTCCAGATCAACGCCTTCCTTCCCGCCATGCAGTATTCAATCTCACCATGGCAGTACAACGACACCGAGATCGTTGAAATCGCGCTTCGGTGGACGAGTTTCCACGAGAATGTCGTCACTCCGAAAATGATCAAGCTAGCCGAGGAAGAATACATCACAGAAGGGAAGCCCCTGGTCCGCCCACTATGGTGGATAGCTCCGACTGACCCAGAAACCTTCGTCATCGACTCGCAGTTTCTCGTCGGTGACGACATGCTTGTGGCGCCCATTATAGATGAAGATGCACGGTCACGTGATGTGTACCTTCCAGCGGGCCTATGGAAGGATGAGATACACAATTCAATGCATGAAGGGGGCACATGGCTTCGTGACGTCAAATGCGAGTTGGATGAAATTCTCTACTATACCAAACAGGATAATTAACTGTCAGCTACAACCAGACACCCCGCCCCCATCTCGAAGGTGTGCATATTTTGCGATTACAATGGGAACTTTGAGGTGTACATAATTCTCGGTTGCAATGATATTCACCCAGCAAGGTATTCTAGGTGAGATATAATTATACTATCATACTATAACGAATTAGTATCCAGAGCCAAATGATAAGCCTAATTCAAATGTTTCTGCATCGTTATGAGCAATAATACAGTAAAGTATAATTATTTGAAAAAATTGATGATCGCAGTGTATACGTTTCAAGACGGAGATTATTTAATGAAATTGGTCGTTACGTGTTTGTGGTTATAATGTGCAATTGCGACCCAAAGCGAATTCAGATATCACCAGATAATTTTTCCTATAAGGAGAGTCCCAACTAGGCCAATCAAATTGATTCCAGTGGCGGATCTAGGGGGGGGGGGCACAGGGGGCACATGCCCCCCCGGCCCCCCAACAAAAAAAACCAAAAAAGTTCTGCTCACTACCCCCCCCCCCCCCTGAGCGAATTGTTTCGGCCGGCGCGATTTTCAAATTTTCTGGAGCAAAAAAAAAAAATTGGGCCCCCCCCCCCCTCTAAGAAATCCTGGATCCGCGCCTGGATTCGATGCACTTAATGGTAAGCTAACTTCTACAGGGCTCGTACTAGAAAACATAAACATTATTATTGCTACAAAATGAATAAATCATAATCATTTTTTTCATTTTGATGCAATTGTTTTCATTTGAAATATTTTTTCTAAGAGAAAATGGTAGGTATAAGCATAAGAACATAGTTGTGTCGATCTTAAGTTAAAATCGTATGAAATTGAGTGATAACTTTGTTCTATCCGTCAATATTTTCAGATCCAATCCAAAAAATATTAATAGTACCTTTCCAAGGCGCTGCACACATTGTTCGAAATGTTTTGGCCACTTACACAATATCACTTTAAAGACTTTCAATATTAAAAATGTGCTTTGAACATACTTTCCTTGCTCTTTGTGTCGGCCTAATCGCACATTATGGTCGGAATCAAATACCGTATCATATATTGAATACATTCACCCAGCCGGACAATGCTTTCATGACCCCCCCCCCCCCCCCCCCCCAAACAACTGCCCATAGTTTCTTTCTTGGACAACCATGGAAGCTATTCTTGGCCCAATCAGATCGTCGTCTGATTCTCATGACTTTTGTTTTGCTCGTTGGTTTCGAGTCCCGTGCTGATGAGCAGACAAAATGAACAAAATGATTGTCACCGGGATGTGTGTAAGAGCTAGCACCCCCCCCCCATCTGCTCTTGATACAGGCTTGGGTTCAGGGGTAAAACACTCTGTTTATCTGACAGAACGCTAACTGGAAGCTCCGTATATATGCAGCAGATGCTTCTTCCTTTATTGCAAAATCAAATACAAAAAAAAAAATAATAATAATAATTAACAGTTTAAAATGTAAGGGGGCACATGGCGCTGTTTAATATATATGTAGGAGAATAGAGTGTCGCGTATCAATGTTTTTCTTCAGAAAGTATCTAAATAAAAAGTGGGAAAAAAAGAACATAAGGAACAAAGAGAAGAAAATTGCCAGTGTGTGCATGTGGTTGTGTGCAAGTGAAGTAACACGCTACATTTCTCGCAAAGAGTAAGGTGTATACCTGGTGTTTTGAGTGCCTGTATACACAACTGGTAATTCGCAATAGACTGCATAAACCTTTGAAGATAAACAGAAGAAGAAGAAGAAGAATGATAACATTACGAACCTCTCGGTCACCTCCAGGTTTAAGGGTATATGGGGGTCCTCGGAAATAGTTGTCCGGGGGTATATTATACATAAGCGGATTTTTCCCGTATAATCCCTTTTTTCACTTACGGGTGTGCAACCTTATGTCTTTCCATTTTATGTGACTTCGCAACCCCCATCATGCCCATCAATATGCCTAACATAAAGAACTTTCTTCGTCCAAGTTTGGCTGCAGCTTGGAACAGCGCGTTTGGTACGTGTCGAGTAGCCAATGAGTACAAGAACATTGTATAGAAACAACAGAGTTTATTTAGAACCACGACCGATGAAAAAAAAAAAACAATGATATGCATACATTGCATGTTATGATTACAATGTTTGCGATAGTTGTTTTCGAACCAGCCGATAGCTGGTTATTATGTATCAAGCTATCCAAACAATAATTTTAATGGATGTAAAATATGTTTGAAAAAAAAACACACACAAATGTTACCACTGTTTTTCTTTAAAATGTTGACACATGAGTATTTACACGCTTCTATAATCTCGAACTTCACGTGCAATGCATTATCACTATTATATTTACACAAAGACTAGAATATGTCAAAGTTTACTAATCTTCATTCTTCGTTATATACAATGAGTTTTTTTAATTGTTTGATTTAGCCGTGATAGATAGGCCAACAAATAATAGCATTAGTAATAAAAACATAGCTACAAATTCATCTGTCTATAAGATTTATAGCCCGTTGTTAGTAACATATTTTGCTTTCAGTGTCGGCAAAGACACGTGGCATGAGATTAACAATAACACGTCTTAGACATAACTTCTGTATTCAATTCAGTTCAGTTCAGTTTGTTCAATTCCAATAAAATATACAAAACAGAATACAATCATGACATAATCAGAGTATAAATCAATCAAGAATACAAAATAAGGTAAAATTATAAAACAATAAAGCGATACATCAGATAACAACATAAAATAGAGCATTATTGGAATTGGGTGGCCATAAAAAAACCATGAGGATTTGTCGAGAAGACAACCCTTGATTAAGGTAACATAAGTATTGGCAATGAATGGATTCCGAAAAGGTGTAGCAACAATTATATCATTATTTCTTTCAAAACTGGTAAGCTTTGAGTGGAACTGCGATAGCGAAAAGTAGTGACAGACATGAAAATCGCATATTAATATATCAAGAGATGCATACAATGTCTTATTATAATGTGCAACATGGGCTAGTACACAAACTACAACATTACTCTGTATTTACGCCACATTGGAAATGCCTAAGGCTAGGCAAGTTTCTACAACATTTTTTGTAAAATGATTGACAGCATATTGATTTTATTGAGTTGGATCCATTGTTGCATGTAAATCGTACTGTACTTTAAGGTAATATCGAGAGAATAATCTTGATGCCGACTTATGTATTTAATTTATCGTGCATGATCAATATATCTTAAAAAATGAACTAATATATACTGAACTCATGGATTTAATGGCTATGTATAGTCCCAAAACTACCAAATTGAGGACGAAACACAATCAATTTTGTTTCAATTCTAGACATATCTGATCAGGGCTCTTCAATGAGCAGACGAAACATTGATATTTGTCGTAGGTGTTATGGATAAAAAGTTAATAATAATGATAATAATATTTCGGGAATTTTACGTCGGTCACATAAATAAGACAGACACCCGACGAATAACAGCCCAACCAACACCATACCGACAAGTTCCTAAACAAAAATATTTAATTGATAAAAAGCGGTTGGTCAGGCATTTCTTGGAATCAGTTTAAATTTGGTCTGGAGATGAGACTCTTTACAGAAATAAGTTTTAGATACTACACAATTAAGATATTAAACAATTGAAACAATTGATATAAAGATCATTGAGATTTCACTTCATCACTATGACCGGTTTCAATTGTATTTCTTCCGATAAAAAGAAGTGAAACCTATCATAGTGAAGAAGTGATTTCAGGGATTTTTATTTCAACTGTTTAACTATCAATTGTGTATTGCCGTAACGGTGGATTATCCGAATTGAATTATTTGCTTTACTATATACATAATGTATTAAAAGGTTCCTAGCTTTTAGATTATAAGGTATCAGAGAAGATCTGTAAGATATTACTAGTTATATACCTCACTTAAGAAATCCAGCCATCTGATTGGTCGAAATTGCAGTCATGATTTTAGCCATTCCCGTAAATAAACGAAAAATGCCAAAATTATGTAATAGTTGTAGAGTAAATCAGTAAAATCCCGGCAAAATTCCAGTTACCGGGAAAATAGTTCAATCTTGCTGAAATACCCATTGGTTCACGTGCTATAATCTGGTTTGAGCGAGCGCGGATACCATACACTGTGTGTGTGCGAATTGGGTACGTGAAATTCTCCATACAAATAGCACGATTGTAACCTCCCCTTGAGCGTATAAAAACAGCTATGTCTCCTAAAGCAGTCATTATTACTATATTACTAACTTCGATGCATCCTTTAAAATATTATTAAAAAATACTTCAATACATCCATCTATTATAATGGTGTATGACGGATATATAAAAAAACACATTATACATGATATCAGGTATTGTGGATTGAAACTGGTATACTATAGATTTACAATTAAATAGTTTCATTCAAATCACAACGACTTCCCTATACGTATATCTTTGACATTATTTCATTGTGTGTAGCATGATTATCAGTCACGAATGAGATATTTTGGACACCTACAAGTTCAGTCTCTAGGTAAAATAGTTCTTGATTTGCAATGTCATAAAAATCATATATATATAATTGTCTATTCTGCAAACTTCATATTGTGGCCCCTTTTTGAGTCACTCTTCACGGCATCTATTAGTCAATCTGCATCATGTTTGAATACTCGATGAGGTCGTCGTCTTCCTCGATTTCTCCCTTCTCCTGACCCCCTTCTGGATTCTCAGCTGTAGAGAAATTGTTCTGATTTCCAAGATCATCCGGATCAATCGAACGGATCACGAAAGGGACTTCCTTCCAGGCACTGGGAGACCACTTCTTACGCTTGTCATCCATGAGCGTAAAGTTCTTGATATCAATCAACGGATACTTTTGCTGCTGATACACCATCAATTTGCCCCATTTACTCTGGCAATAGCCACAGTGGATCTTCTGCATGAACTTGAAGTCGTCGACGACTGGCTGCTTCTTGAGATCAACGAGCCTCGTCTTGTCCAGGAAGAGGTCGTCGATGACGACGTGGTGCATGTTTTTGATGCACCTGATATCATCTAGACTGCAGGCCTCTTTGAGGCACTTGATGCAATAGAGGACTA